GAACCTATAAGGTGATTGCAGTGGACATAGACTTCCTTCCAGATTCAGGTTCTCCATTATTATTATTATTATTAATTAGCATGAATGTCCAAGAGTACTGACAAGACAGGTTCCAGCTGCGGCCTCAGGCCATGCAGCCATGGTAGGCGTGCCCTTTCTGTAAAGGCCTGTATCCAAGCTTTGGGAAGAAGGGCCCTCTCAGTCTTTCTCCCTTGTCCTAGTAATAGTAGCTGCTCTTTCACACTTGCTGCTTTAGGGACCCTTAGACTCAGAGCTCCTTTACCTCTTTTAATAGTTAACCACCTCTCCCTGTTCTAGTTAACAATTCATCAAAATACATTTTCCAATAACCAGTATAGTTGTGCCTCCTGACTGCACTCAGACTAAAGAGTTCACTGTACAGCTCTTCTGTATGTTTGAAAATGTTGGAGGAGGGAAGCAGGGAGATGTATTTTTAAAAATTGCCAAAATGTTAATAACTGTTGAAGCTGGATAATGGACTGAGAAAAATTATACTATCTCACCGTTTTCTTTGTTTGAAATTTCTGTAAAAGTTTTTAAAAGGGAAGAAAAGAAGTGCTTCATAAAGGTCAAAACATTTCGAGAGATTTTAACAGGCAAAATGGAGGATGAGATTCCAGGTGTGAAAAAGCATACATCAAATATGGCAGCAGAAAACTGAAGGACATGCTTGAGCAATAGCAGGTAGGCTGGCTAAAGCATAAGGTGTATAATGCAAATAAATGGTGAGTTTTTTTTTCCCCTCCTCTTCACTTCAGTATGTTCGTTCTTCGTACTCAATTGCTGTCTTTTTTTCCCTATCCCTTTTTTCTCCTGTCCCTGCTCCATACTTCTACTTATTATCCGAGGTCTAGCTCTTAACACTCTTCCCCACCTCTTATAAATCATAAATTGACCCATTTCAGTCTTTTCATATGTCTTAACTTTTTTTAAATAGGCGTTTAATTATATGTCTTTGGGCACATTTATGAGAAAATGTAAATACGTTTGTGCAGATATAGTAGTATTTTTTACATGTAAAGCCATTAGCAGTGACCTAAAATAAGTTTTCATTATCTCTAGTTAGTAGGGGACAAGAGAAAACATTAATTGATTCATTATTATTATTACTTAATAACCCATGACATTCTTTTTATAATCGCAAAATATATCTATACACGCGGAAGTGAGTTCGTGTGTCAACACACTATCTCCAGGAAGGGGTTTATAATATTCTTTGGTAAGCTGGGTAGTGAGTTGAACAAATAATAAAATTATTATTATTAATTAATGGGTAATTATTACCTATTCTCTCCACCCACCAATACATTTAAAGCACCTTTAGGCTATTCTTCAGTGACATCTCGCTTCCTCCTTTCTTAGGAATGGCAAGAATCATAAAATTTGACTTAGAAAAAGCATCTTTCTTCAATCCAAACCGAAAATGTTATAAAGTATAAAACCAGCCAGACATTTAACAGGAAGAACTTTTCACAGAGATAAGGTCATAGAGAGCAAATATATCCAAGTAAAACATATATTATGACGATTTATAAAAAGCATACATATGCACCTGTTGCACACATTAAAATGTATTATACAGACACCCCACCTGGGCTCCTTTCTCTCCTAACGCCCCCTTATTGGTAGAGTCTAAACCTGCCATGCTAGCCTCAACAAGTGGCACATGCTCCTCTATCTGCTTAGAAGGTGGTAGGGATACAAGTATTCCAGAATACTGGACAGCAGAAGACAGATGTTGTTCGGTGTCACTCAGGCAATGACTCTACTTTTCCAACCCCTCCTGAGGATGTGGGCTTGCTGATGCTAAGTCTCATTCAAGATCTAGGATGATGCAGTGTGTGTAAACTTTGCACACCCAAACTGTCAATGTGAGTTTTTCCAAAATAAATCAGCAGTGGTTAACATTAAAAATTGGGTTTCTTTCTTGCCTTGGACAGGACAAACAACTAGGAATTCCATGGGGTACCCAGAGGCAAAAGAAAAGCCCCCACAAAGATATGCTGCAGCTGCTCCTGCTCTGGATGATGCCTTGCTTCCCCTACATTCTGGCAGCCGTGCTACAGAACTTTCTGTGATAACGAACATGTTTGCTCTTCTGTCACATGTAGCTACTAAGTAATTGAAACATAACTAGTGTGACTGAGAAATAGTATTTTTAATTAATTTTTTATTGAAATAGAGTTGATATACAATATTATATTAGTTTCAGGTGTACTACATAATGATTTGATATTTGCATACATTATGAAATGATCACCACAAGTCTAGTAACCATCTGTCCCCATACAAAGTTATTACTATATTATCATATTCCTAGTGTTGAATATTAAACCCCCGGGACTTATTTATTATATAACTGGAGGATTGTACCTCTTAATCCCTATACCTGTTTTGCCCACCCCAATACCTCCCCCTCCCTTCTAGCAACCAGCTGTTCTCTGTAAGTCTGTTTCATTTCATTTAGTCTGTTTTGTTTTTTAGATTCAACATATAAGTGAAAACATGTGGTATTTTTCTTTCTCTAGCTTATTTCACTTAGCATAATACTCTCTAGATCTATCCATATTGTGGCAAATGGCAAGATTTGTTTTAATAGCTGAGTAATATTCACTGTATATATACCACATCTTCTTATCCATTAGTCTATCAATGGATGCTTAGGTTTTGCTTTTCTATCTTGGCTATTGTAATATATACCCTGCAATGACCTTCGGAGGGTATATATTTTTTGAATTGGTGTTTTTGTTTTCTTCAGTAGATACTCAGAACTGAAATTGCTGGATCATATTTTAGTTCTATTTTTAATTTTTGAGGAATCTCCATATTGTTCCACAGTGGCTGCACCAATTTACAATCCTATCAACAGTGCTTAGCAATCATTTTTAGATAAGTCTCCTCATGCAAGGGAAACAAAAGCAAAAATAAACAAATGAGACCACATTAAACTAAAAGGCTTTCGCATAGCGAAGGAAACCAATAAAACAAAAGGCTGCCTCCTAAATGGGAGATATTTGCAAACAATATATCTAATAAGGGGTTAACATTCAAAATATACAAAGAACTCATATAACTCAACATTCAAAAAAAAAAAACTCAATTAAAAAGCAGGCAGAGGACCTGAAGAGAAATTTTTCCAAAGACATACAGATGGCCAAATGACACATGAAAAGATGCTCAACTTCACTAATCATCAAATAAATGCAAATTAAAACCATAATGAGATACCACCTCACACCTATTGGAATGGCTATTATCAAGAAAACAAGTGTTGGTGAGGATGTGGAGAAAAGGAAACTCTCGTGCGCTAATTTTATTTAATTGTAATTAATTTAACAGCCACACGTGAGTAGTGGCTACAGTCTTAGACAATTCTAAAGCCTTAGTTAAAAAAAAAAATCAGGAGCTTAAAGCATTTATGTTTGCAAGCTATCGTGCTGACAACCTAACACCCTACCTCAGCTGCTAAGCAGAAACATCCGTTTGTCCATATCCAGACAGCACCTCCTTTGTGAAGCCATGGCAGCTCAGAATTACTCTTACCTATTACTAACGAAGTCCCACCTTGTTGTCATTATGGATTTACCTACCTGTGTTCCCTGTTAACCTAGGGACTCTAAAAAGTGGCAATTGTGTATTTTTAACTTCTGAATCCCCAGAGCCTAACAGAGTGCCACATCCTAAAATCCTTGCCCTATGTTCTCCTGGCCAGTTTATTAAACCAGTCTTCATCTAACCCACTCTTCACTACTGTACCATTTGAAATCTCATAATCCCATCCACAATCAACATCTTACAACTGGGGAAATTACAGGTCATATTATCTGTACCAAAAGGTGTGGCGCTTTACTTTTACATACAATTGCTCAGTAGAAGACGCTGTAAAATAGTGGAAATGATGCATATCGGAAACTCAAGTGGAAATAATAAGTAGTTAGACACATGAGTCTGGAACTTAGGAGTAGACACAAATTTAGGAGGTTTTTTTTTTTTTTACCATAGAAGTGGCATTTCAAACCATGCAACTCATGAATTAGATCACTTAGGGATTAAATGCATATAGAAGAATACAGGCACTCCAATGTTACAAGGTCAGCGGCGAAAAAGAGCTTGCAAAGAACACTGAGAAGGGGCAACCAGTGACACAGAGGAAAACCAGGGAAGTTATGTTTTCTGAGAGCCAAGTAAACAGTTATTCAAGGAGACAGTCAGGTATGGTAAATGCTATTGACAGATCAGGTTGGAAAGTAAATTGTACTTCTTTTCGACAACAGTAAACCCCCCCAAAACTGAAGAGAGAAAAACTGAAAGATACCACTCGACATTCAACTACCGGTGATAAAGAAAAATCAGAAGTTACACCAACGTTATCTAATACAGATACTTCATTCATCTCACTACACACGTGCTATTCCAGAGCATATCTTCCTTTTAATATTCACAGGAAACAAAGTTTCAGTCAGCACAATTTTCTTGGCCATGTTAATTTTACGCGAAAACCTCGTTAAGTGTTACCAGCTGAGACTGCCTGAACCAACAGGTGTCTCCCATTCAGTTGCCACGCTTTCCTTAGAAATGCAAGTTTGGCACAATTTAAAGGTCAAGATGGTCTATAGGATGTCCAGTTTCCAAAAGAGAACGGACAAAAGTGTCAACATCCACGGAGGACCTAGAGAAAAAGTTTAACTGTGAACTCCAGTAAGGGAGGGGCTCACTTCTCACAAAGCAGGAGCTCAAAACTTCTCATTTAACTTGAAAAGAGCTGCCTCTTACAGCGCGGAGGTGGCGCGAACTTCAGGGCACTACGCCCTCCAGAAGATCGCTGTTGCCCTAATACTCTGTGCGCAGAAAGGGACCAGCGAGTTTGAGGGAACCCGCGCAGTAGATCAGCATCGGGGTCGATAAAGGCAACGCGAGACGGCGCACAACCGCATTCCCGACCCTAAAATTAAAAGACCCCTTGCTTGCGGGGGACTCACCTGCCTCCGGAGTGGGGAAGACGCGCGGCCCCCGGCCGCCTCAGAGTGGGCGTCCTCCCAAATCCCGCACCTTGTCACCGGACACTACAAGGGCGCGGGTCCCCGGGCTAGGGAAGAAGGATCCGGGAGTGCACGGAGCGCTCGCTCAGCCCCTTCGGTCTCCGAGGTGCTGCGCCACGGGTGCCTCAGGTACTCCTCAGCGTCCAAGTTGTGCTCAAGCTCGCCCGCCTCGTCGCTTAGCAACCTGCGAAGCCGCCGGGTCTTCCCGACACGTCAATTCCTCCCGCCCCCGGAGAGTGTGAATAGTTTTTAAAAAGATTCTGTTTCCGGGTCGAGCCGGCTTTACGCAGCGGAAGGTCTTTTTACCTCCCACGTTTACCCTTGGGGGAGGATAAAGACTCAGAAGCGCCAGGGTGGGTGATGTAGCTGCGAGGTTTCTCTCTCCTCCCTTAAGTTAACACGCGCCTCCCCTCCCGCCAATTGCTGGCCGCCATCCGGCAGGTCCTTTCCTCCTTAGCCGAAATCATCCGCTCGTCGCCGTCCTCCAATCACAGCGGCCCGCTCTCGGGGACTACTTTGCAACCGAAGAAGAGCGCAGGGAGAAGGGCGTGAGAAGACGCTCTGATGTCGGGAAGTGTAGTTCAACACGTTAAGGAAATTCATTGGAGATTGCGTCCAACCCAGGGCAGCAGAAACTACAGTTCCCAGAGGGCTCGGCGATCGGGAGTCTAGCCTTTTCTTTCTAACACCGCTCGCCCTTTTTGAGTCGGTTCCGCGATAGAGGTGACCCCACTCCTCGAGGCTCATTTTGCAGGTGCTGAAAGTATCCGTGCAGTTTCCAGTCATGGTGAGTGTGAGCCCCCTGCATCCTGCCCAACCTCGGCCTTCGCACCCATGTGTGGAGTGTCTTGCGCTTGAATGATTATTGGGAGGAGGTTGCAAGGCATTGTCCTTCACGCCCTTTGGAAAGCTCCGACTCATCTTGTGGGGACTGTCGCAGTGACCCAGTAATTGGGAAGGGATTGATTTCCAGCTGGGGGCTTTTAGAAAGACTCTAGAGAAATCGCTGTCCTTGGAGAGGTGCGTTCTCAATCCTGCTGCATGTTGGGGATACAAAATAAGAAGCTGCAGGTTTTCTCCAAAGCACGATATGGGGTTTGATAAGGAGGATAAGGTTTGATATGGGAGACGGTGTTGGATCCTAACCTCTTTTTCTCCTCTTAAGCCCACAGTGTTTTTAAGAGCTTTTGTCACAAAGCCCTTGAAAGCAGAAGGCCCTCACTGCAAGGGTAATGCTTGCCAGATGCTTCGGATTACGATCTACGTTTTCGGGAGAAGTGTTTCCGCCATATCTAATTTCACAAAATGTTCTTTAAAACCTGTTCATAGATCTCCTTTTGTAATGCCAGGACATGATGCAGTGATGGCATCCCTAGCCAAATAATTAGTGCAATGTTCTTTGCTAATCTGTATGTTATCAATTCTAGAACCACTACTTTTAAATGTTACAATGTAACCATCTTGTTATGAAGATTGGATATCAAGAGCTCCACATCTTGTCTCTGCTGAAAGGGAGAAGAGGGGGGTTGGTGACGGGACTCTGACGTAGGAATAATCTGCATGCTGTTTGAAGGTGACATTTGACATCAGACCGAGAGAAATTGCTTCAGTACTTGAGACTATATTTCCCTCGTTACCTCAAAATAGTAAAAATGGGTGGGGAATGTGGGGAAATATTTGAAGGAATTGGAAATTGTCCAGAACCTGAAAAGGTATGTTTTCAAGGCAAAGGGATTACTTCCTCTACCTTTATAAGGGAGCCAATGGGGACAGCTACTAATTCTCAGAAAGTGTTAAACCTGGGTTTCCTACTTACTTTGTCAGATAATATAATTAGTCATTTAAATGATGTTTCAGTGGTTTCTGACCTAATCTTAGCAAGAAAGCGGAGGTGTTTTTATCAGAGAACCTCAGACTTTATAATTTTAAAACTGGATGATACCTTTTAAAGGTCATCTTGACAAATCTCCCCATTTCAGATCTTAAAATTGAGTTTATCGAAACCCAAAGAGAATGTGATTTGCTCAAGGTCACGCAATAGTTTGCCCCCAGAGATCTCACACTCTCCATTTTACCGTATTGTGTCATACAGACACATACCAAGTCATTCTGAAAATGTATTTTTAGTTCCTGAGGTTCTGGATGAAGATACAAGCTCATACTGCAAATACAAACTGAAGTATGTATCTGCATTTATATTATTTGATAGCTTTATTCCTTGCAATTCAGAATACTGGGATTTTAGAATTGGAATGGAATTTGGAAATTGTTTCCTCTAATCTTAAAACGTACCCTGGTGAGGTCAAATGATTTTCCCAAGGTCATAGAAGGATCCTTGACCCCACATTCTTGTGTTGCTTTCCTACACAATCTATCAAGCCAGGCCTTAACCTCTGGAAGGTCACTCGAGTGCCAGCTAACATAGATGTCCATGAGAAGAATCCTCCTGTCACTTTGCTGAAACTGACAGCAAATTCTCATATGACTCAATCTCCTTGCCTTCTCAGGAGAGTGTGAACAATCACTGAGAAAAGAGTCATCTTTTGTAAACTATTCAGAACAGTTTTTTTGAAGAAGCAAATTCTTTGCTTGTGTCCAGAGTGTGACAGCAAGAATAAACTCTATGAAGGAATCTGAATGATACTGTTTGTCTTTTATATTATAGAAATATATATATAAATTAGAAAGGAAAAAAGGAATACTTGGGTCTTCCTGTAGAATAACAGAAAGAACACGTCAATTCAAGCTTTACAACTGAGACTTGAGCACCTGCGCAAGGCAGCCTGCATCGGCCAGAAGGTCATTATTAGTGCCCTACCAAGAGCAAAGACATTCCTTCGGATCTTGGCAGACTGCCCAGATATCTAAGCAAACAATAGTAACCTATCCTCACACTGTAACATTGTGAGAAGTCAGTGGGAATCTCCCACCCTCCTGCTTTTCACTGCAATGTTGCAAAGGGCAGAAAGAACCAAATACGTGCTTTCTTTCCTGTTTCATCATCAAACATTCAGACGTTAACTAGGCTTCATACTACTGTTAACAAGATGGAATTACCTACCTATGAAGATAATTTACTTAGTGATACAGAAGAAGGGAACTGCTGGGGTGGAATTAGCGGCTGTTCGCTAGTTGCCCACAACCCCTTCACTAGGGTGTGATACTTTGAACACATTTTTTTAGTAGCTAAAATTAGTGCCTGCAATCAACTACACGATTCTAACCATCTACCTGATATTCTGGGAAGTTCAGCTTTACAGATAGTAATATTCACTTTCCCCTCATTTCTTATCCTAGCTTGCTTTCAGTGAAGTAGCATGTGTTATATTTTTCTTAACCCTTACTTTCATTCATTCAACAAGTACTTGTTGAACACTGTATGGGAGTGCAAATTTGAGTCAAAGGTAGAATGCTCGCATGAAGGTTTCAGTCTACTGGAGGGTAACAGACATAGGCTACAAGAGTCCTTAGAGGAAAAATCTGTGGTGAGAGAGACCTATAATTAGAGTGCTTGCCACATACTGTTCTTACTGCATTAATGTTAACTCTCTCAGTCCTTACAACCTCTGTGTTTGTTAGGTAGCTGCTGTTATCTCCATTTTATTGTGGAGAAACAATACAGTAACTGGCCCAAGAACATACAGCTAATGAGTTGTGGAATCAGGGTTTGAACCAGAAAGTCTGGCTCTAGAGGCCACACTGTACTGCCTCTCTAGCCCCTGTTTTAAAAAAAAAAAAAAATTGGCTTATCCTCTTGTTTCCTGCATGTGGTTCACTAAATGGACTCTCTGGCCTATAATAGCACAAGGTGCATAACAGAGGAAGACTTTCATTAGGACTAATGACATAAATAATTTTGCCAACTATAGCTGGAGCTATTGTGGTCATTAACTTTCCAGGCTTCTCAGTGCAAATGTATGTGAATAAAATAATTTTTAAAAGCATGTTAAGTTTGCTTCCAAACAGTTCTTTTACATTTCCAAGGTTTTGATAGTAATTTTACAAGATCCAGCTATTCCTTCAGCAAATATTTGAGCTCCAACTACATGCCAGGCATTGTCCTAGGCAGTTGGGATTCAACAGTAAATAAAATAGACAAAGCCCCTGTCCTTGAAGAGCTTGCATTCTAAAGAGGGAGGAGGAATCATTTCTTCCCCTCTTTCCTTTTCCTCCTATACTTCAAGGGAAGAGGGGAAAATGACAGAATTTAAAACAGATAAAGGCCATGCGATAGAAGATAACTATATACAATAAGTTTTTGTGTTCTTTATAAACCTGAAGTCTATTTGGGAACATTAATATATATTGTATTAAAATTGGATTGTTTGTGGAATTAATCATTCTGCATATTTAGAGAAATGAAAGCATGGGGGTAAATTGGTGAAGAGTATGGGGAAGAAACCCAGAAGGTCAGGAATAACTCTTACTTTTCCCTTTTTTCCCACTCTTGCCGTGGTCACATCTCTGAGGAAGAAATGCATACACAGTCTGCTGTGTTCAGATTCATTTCTCTACAACAATTGACACTTCTTTCCTGAGATTTTTTTTTTCCTCTGAGTTGCGTGCCTACCAAATTGCTAAGTGCTGCTGACCTCCAGAGGTTAGGGTGTGAAGGTTAGAAGGACCTTTTGAGGTCATAGTCTCCTGTCCTAGAAGCATGACCCCTCTCGAAGAGGGACTTCTAAATATAAAGAAATCAAATGCTTCTATCGCCAGCCAGTTCAGTGGGCTACAGCTCTTGTGTGGGTAACAACAGGTGACAGAGTGCAAGTACATTTACCCAGCATTGTCAGAGAAAGGAACAAATTCCCCTGAGTTTTCCCATCTAATTAAACTTACTGAGTTTCCAAACGTTTTTGTTCAGCTCTTTTTAATATAAATAATTCTTTTTAATTCTCTGACCTTAATTTAACTTTTTTTTTTCTTTTCATGACTCAGGGTCATCAGGTCATCACTTTGAATTAGTTTTGTTTGGGGGTTTTTTGGTCCAAATATCTACATTTTGTTCAGGGTCTGTTGAGATCTATAAGGTGACTTCCTTGTATTATAATTAGTATGTTCTTTGTACTTCTTCCCCTTCCTCACCTTTAAAATTAATTTTCCCTTGGAATCAGGCTGTCAGCTGTTACTACATGTTGCCATTGTTTAATGCTAAAATTACTATAATCCAGATATTATCATTTTTTAAATTTTTCTTTCTCCTTAAATGAAAAATACAGGCTTAGTTTTCTTCCTCCAAGTAGTTAAGCTGAATCATGATTAGTAGTTTTATTAAAACTTTCTGGCTCCTAAATGGGAAATGTTAACCACTGTTACTCCACTTCCTGGTGTGCAGGATTCTTTTGAGCAGAAGGGAGTGGAGGGATTTGCATAAGAGGATTTGTAAGGTTCTAGTGGCCGCCAGGGTTTGTATCATCATATAATGCACATCAACACCATTAAGCCTATTTCAGTGGTAAAATATCGTAAAAAAAGATGGATACGATTTTGTACGTAAATCTAAGATGGCTGGGAGAGTTAAATAAGACCACATGAACATGCAGCCAAAGGACACATGTCCCAGAAGTTGCTTACTTGCTTTGTGCATGCTGTATTTACTGGGACAAGTCTGAGATAAATTAGTCTTCTACTAAGCCAGATGTGAAGAGACTTTAAGATTTTACATTAGCTTTTAAAGTGTGTGGTTGTCATATTATAGAGGAAATCCTGAATATCTTTAGGGACAAATAGCACTTTTTAATAAGACGTTCATGGCTCTGTTTCATTACAGTCTGAACCAATCCGGGTCCTTGTGACTGGAGCAGCTGGTCAAATTGCATATTCACTGCTGTACGGTATTGGAAATGGATCTGTCTTTGGTAAAGACCAGGTAGGGGCAAGAGTCTTTAAATCTTGTCTAAGTAAGAATTTTTCAATAAAACCCCGTATTTAGTTGCAAAGAAATTTTTAAATGGTGAAGGAATGGGTAATCCCAACAAACGCCCTAAGCACATGACGAGTAAGTAGAATCTGGTAACTTATCTATATGCACCCCTCCAGGCAATGAAAACACTTCGCAAATTAGAACTGTTCCACATACTGTTTAGTTGACTTGGTGCATCCAGTAGGTATCCTGACAGTAACTGTTAAGGAGAGTCATGTGGGAGAGAAAGTTGCTGAATCAGCACTTTTAAAGTTCTCATTTATCCATTCTCTTCACCCATGGGTATCGAGTTCTTTCCTCATGCCAGATACTGTACTTCGCTTTCTATAAACTGAAATTAAATATACAGCTATCAACAATAAAAGCAAGCTGTGGCATGTCAGTTTATCTTGATATTTCTTCCATGTACTCCTTTAAAATCCAGATCTGGTGATTCCTCTTACTGTGTTTGTTAGCCGCCATTGCTGGTTTTATAGCATTCCTTTTTCTGAAAGCAGCTTACTATTGCATACCTGACTTCCTAAAATAATTATGACTAATTAGCAGGAATTATACATACATACACACCAATTAGCAAAAATTTTGTGAAAGGACTTTTTCTGTGACTAAATGACATCACCCACACTGACAGATGTTGTCCTTGCTATTTACTTCGCAGCCTATAATTCTTGTGCTGTTGGATATCACTCCCATGATGGGTGTCCTGGATGGTGTCCTGATGGAGCTGCAGGACTGTGCCCTTCCCCTGCTAAAAGGTGAGCTGGGGAGTGGAGGAGAAGGGGATTTTACAATATTTCATGTCTTCCAAAAAATAGATTTTTAGATATTTGTTAACTAGCCTCTCGATTAGAAATCATTTCATAAAAGCATCTTGTTTTTGTTTTTTGAACAACTGTTTGGTAACATGTATACCGAGAATAAATAAGGGTAAAAGTGCGAAGCAACCAGTATAAAGTAAAAGACTATTTTTTCCCAATATGTCCAGGTGTAGTTTATTTTACTAATTAAATATAATATTGCACAAGGGTTATCCACCTGAAATTGTCTACACTGTGTTATTATTTAAAGTCTATTTAAATAGTAATAGTACCATTCTGTAATGGAGAACTTTCTCAACTCTAAATGACGTCTTCCAGAGCCATATGCTGCCTGGGGGCTGGAAATTGCTTGGTCCCAATGTATAGTTCCACCCCATATCATCAGGTTGAGATTTAATGTAAATTGTTCTAATCGTATACTACATAGTTCGAGAAACCTTACCAGAGTTCTGCTAAGAGCCTTTGAGAATCTCTGAACTATTAATACTATTTAAGACAGAAGTCTTAAATTTGATTGAAAGGTTCATTTAATGAAGTTGTAAACTAATTTGAATATTTTTCTTTAGCTATACCTTCATCATGATCTTTTTGGGGGGGGGGGTACGGATTAATAATAATACTTCCAAGTTTGCACAAAGCAAAAATATGTACATGCCCAAGAGAAACCATGCTCAGAATTCATATATCTGTTCAGTAAACATCTACTAGAAGGAGCAGTCTGCCATCTGAATCATTTGGTTGCATAACTGTGCAAGGGAATACATTACGCTGGCCAGGCGGTTCTACTGGCTCCCTTTCCTCACCCAGTGTTTTCCTCTGTTGCTTTTTTCCATTTTTATTCCTTTCTCTGCTGAGTTCCTTCTGCTCTCACTAATGGGTGCAAGTTACAGTCAGCTTGTCCTTGTCAGCTGTGACTATGACGGGAAGAGATGGTTGGGCAGATAAGGATGTATTGCTGAGAAGAAGATGGATAATTTTTTTCTCTAATTGGTGCTCTTACATACACTAACTTGGAGAGTTGCAGCAGCCTGGCTGATACAAGTTCACTGATCTAAAAATTTACGATGACACACTGAATCCTGGTTGTCTTAGTCCATTTGGCTCCCTGCTCATGACTCAAATCACTTCCCAAAGACCCCACCTCCTAATACCATCATGTTAGGAGTTAGTTTTCAACATGTGAATTTTGTGGGGACACAAACATACAGTCTGTAGCACTGGTCATGGCCTTTTTAATACTGTCACCAAAAGAGAGCAGTGATATACAACTGACACTTCAACAACTCAGGGCTTATGGGCACCAACCTTCCTGGGGTAGAAAATCAAAGTATATTTTATAGTTGGTTCTCCAGGTACAATATTCCTCTGTATCCACAATTCAACCAACCTCAGATTGTATAGTAATATAATATTTACTATTAAAAAAAAATCCACTCATGGGTGGAAGTTACAGCTCAAGAGCACATGCTTACCATGCATGAGGTCCTGGGTTCAATCCCCAGTACCTCCTTTAAGAATAAACAAACAAACCTACTTACCTGTCCCCACCAAAAAGGAAAAAATCCAAGTATAAGTGGACCTGCACAGTTCAAACCTGTGTTGTTCGAGGGCCAACTATATGTTCTTTAATCAAGAAACAAGTTGTGTATGTTTATTGGACTGACACTGCAGCATAGTGGGTGAACTCTGGACCAACCTGGACTGGAATTACAGCTCCACTCCTTTTTGATAGGCAGGTAGTTAATCTCTTTAAGCCTCATGATCTTCATCTGTAAAATATTAAAATTAAATTTGACAAATCTCAGTCTTCTTCCTGGCACAAAACTCCTTAATAAACATTATTTTAGTTTGTTATTGATACCTAGAACTTAAAGTAATTATAACTTAAAGGTTAGGTGAATTAGTTTCTTTTTTGTGTTATCTGTGGTAACTTGTGTGAATAATTAATGTTGCCTTGAAAGTTATCAGGTTAGTACTTTGCATTGTTATAAAAGATAAAAGCTATAGAATTTTGAAATGGAGAAGAATTATTGAAATAACAAAAGCAAAATAAATATATTGACAACTCTGTTGATGTTGTGGTTGTTGAATTAATATATTGCCTTTCTTTTCTTGGGCAATTAAAACTTTGATCAGTGTGATTTGTAAAAGTAAACATTTGCTACAGAGTGAAAGAGTTACTGGGCAGATTCAGTATGGAAAAGAAAACCTCTGACTTTGGTGTTTAAGTAGCTCTACATGTTTATTGCCATGTTCACAGATGTCATTGCAACAGACAAAGAAGAGGTTGCCTTCAAAGACCTGGATGTGGCCATTCTTGTGGGCTCCATGCCAAGAAGGGATGGCATGGAGAGGAAAGATTTACTCAAAGCAAATGTGAAAATCTTCAGATGCCAGGGTGCAGCCTTGGATAAGTATGCCAAGAAGTCAGTTAAGGTGACTGGTATAGTACTTTATAGGGTTTTTCATCATCAGCATTTGAAACTTCTGCTTTCAACAATTAAGTGAAAACAAAATTATTTGCCTTTTCTTTTCCAGTTCTGTGCAGTTGTCAGTAAATAAAGATACAGAGTTTTGCTTGACTAGCCCTCCCTTTCTGGGTTTTTTTCATATAGTTTAGAAATCTGTATTCAGATGAACTCAAAAATATTTTGCCTATTACTATGACATGGGAATTTAATATTAGCTGGTAAACCTATAGACAAGCACAGAACTTTCTGGTGCCTTTAGCAGTGTGGGACTATTTGTTCAGACATTTGGATTTGTGTGAGTGATTGTGAAGGGAGATGGCTGTACGCTGTGTTTCTTCTCAGTGATAGGAGGTGGTGGCTTCTGAATGCCCAGATTTTCTCAGTTCAGAAGAATTTTGAATGCTCATCTCTTGAAGAGCTGAGTTAGCATGACTTCCTGTTCTGTCTCTTTGTGTGTTCAAGCTATTTATTTTGGTTTCTAAATTTGTCTTAGTATTACAGTAAAGCCTCCTTTTACCAATTAAGTATCAGCTACCTAGAACTTAACTGTCACAGCAAAAAGGCTTGCTAGTTAGAGGTTTTACTGATTTTGATATACTTCTCCTTCCCAATCCTGACTTCGAAGAAAGGTAAAAGAAAATTTTATAAGATGTTTTTAAGTTGCCAGTTATAATGTTCTATCTGTTATAATAATTCATAGACACCTGAAGTTTTGCTTTCTGTGGACTTTATTTCAAATAGTTAACTTTTGTTCTCTGTAATCAGTAACAGAAAATAATAGAATGAATTGAGGAGAAATCTCCAGACCGCTTACTAAAACATTACAAGGTTGCATGGAGTTGTAGTGCTACTTGCACAGTAACTGCCTCTCAGTCCAAAGTGTCTTTTTTCGAGGTAATATACACTGATACTGGAGTATTTAGGGACATTGGAGTATCATATCTGCAGCTTGCTCAGATAAGCCAAAAAAAGACTAAGGGCTGTGTGTGTGTGTGTGTGTGTGTGTGTGTGTGCGCGCGTGTGTGTATGGAGAAAGGGAGAGAGATGAGGCAAATTGGAGAATCTAGATACAGGGAATGTAGGAGTTAGTCTTTGTAATATGCTTATAGCTTTTCTGTAAGTTTGATATAATTTCACAGTAAGTTTTAAAAATCATTTTATTAAAGATTTTTAAAATATCATGTATTTCTCTATACGCTGGTAATTCACTGCACCCTATACCTCCCTGACTAAAGAGACAGAGAGCCTGAAGCGCTTTCTCCTCTTGGTGCAATAAGTGTGAAGTGGTGGCACCTGGCAGTTTGGCAGCTATTCTAGTTAATTCTTAGGATTAGGCAAGATTGAGAAACACTTTTAATTCATAAGGGCAAATCACTGCCCTAAAGTAAACTTCTAAGGTAGAATTTCTTTCTTGGACTACTTTTCAAAGAAGGAAATTTTATGATTAAATCAAACTCTGAAATAGAGCCTGAGGTTATCAGTTTTTGGTAGCAGGTAGATAAATGCTGTCTCTGTTTTGGCACAAAAAAAATGACTTGCGTACATCATGTCAGTTTTAGTAAATGTCCCCAGTAGTTACACCAAATACTACCAAGGGGGAAAGTCATTAGAAGGAAGGGTAGAAATCTCCTAGAAACTATAATGATAACTATGCATGTTTACCTCACATAAGCTGGATACAAAAGCTACATATTACACATTTGTCAGTTATGTGCTAAGTTGGTTTAGTTAATCGGTATATGGTCTGTAGCTCTGAGGTGCCTTCCGTACATCTTAGGTTATTGTGGTGGGAAACCCAGCCAATACCAACTGCCTGACTGCCGCCAAGTCAGCTCCATCCATCCCCAAGGAGAACTTCAGTTGCTTGACTCGTTTGGATCACAACCGAGCTAAAGCGCAGGTAAGAAGGATGCCTTTTCAAATCTTATGAATGTTCAACTTTAAAACCTTTTTCTCTCACTTTTAAAGCAGCTGAATCTTTGTGCTTTTACCTTGTTGTTTTGGTTTAGTATGAAGCTATTCTAATTTGTTAGGGCATCTTTAAATCTAATCTCTCAAGGCAGCTGAACTTTTAGTACTTAATTTTCTCAACTATATTTCATTTCCAAACTGTAATAACATGTAATTGCTAATGTCTTCTTCATATAGAGCTTTAAAATTTGTCATTAGTATACATAGTTCACATAATAGTATATACAAAATGTTGGATATGTATGAGATTATAAAAAGGAAGACATGAGCTTTGTGTGTTCTTGTGGTTCTGCTTCCTTTTTCCCTACAGCTGAGCAATCAAGTTTAATTTTTAATTTTACATTTATATTTAATTTTTATTTTTATATATTTCTAATATTCTGCATGTTTCCACAGAAGTTCCTACTCTTTACTACTTAGCAGCTAAATTTTAATTGTCGCCCTATTTCCTTGCCCCTCAGAGCCTTAGATAAATATACCAAGGGGTGAGTGACCAGGGTATTAACAAATTAAAATTTTAAACAATTTTTAAAAATTAGAGGCCATGCCATTCATCTGTGCTAGTTTCCTAGGCTTTCTCAGACCTACACAATCCAAGTGCCCTTAGAAGTCAAGACAAAGTTCTAATTCTTAGACATAACCCTTTTCTTTTCCTAGCACTTTTCTTGCCATCCTTCCTCATCCCCAGCTTATCTGCTTAGGTAGGTCTATGCATTTAGTTCTTTTTTTCTAGAGAAGAAGCTTTGTTTAGTTTCAAGAAAACTAGTTTTACCAAAAGATTGTTTAAGATCTAAGTTAAAAAACTGTTACTGGACTCAATGGGTCCATCACTTGGGGTGCATAGCCAGTGAACACACCAAGCACTTTCCATCAAAGCAGAAGCATTTATTATTTGTGACAAGTAAGGGGACAGGGAGATAGCTCTCAAAGCACTGTCTCCCTGAACAGCAAGATCAGGGGAGTTTGAAGGTAAGGGTCCTGCATATTCATGAAAGGACGAGTGTAACCTTCCAGGTAAAGGTGGAGTTCTAGGTGCGCTTGCGCAGTGCAACCACGTGTTCAAACATGTGTTACATGTTCAAAACTGGCAGAAATCCGAGCCCTTGAGGTGGAGATTTTAGCATTAAAACGAGGCAAAGGTCACTGCAGATTGACAAAATCCAGGCACCTACTTGTGTGAAGTTACGACAGTTAGCAAAGGTCAACATCATCATTCCTTAGGCTTCAGGTATTCCTGTGGCTGATCGCTCGAGGGGTTTTGGGTCCTGGAAAACAGCTCAAAAATGTGCTTTAGGTTGATCTTTACCTTTGAAACACAACAGAATGGGGAGTCTTTATACCTAAGTTGTTACCTTTGCTATAGTTCTTTTGCCTGATACAGTTGTTTGTTCCTGCATTCTTTGTTCTTTTTAAAATCGTTAATTACTGAGACTTAGTCTTTGTTTCCACATGAAGACCTAGGAAGCCATAGTTCACCTTTCTGCCAATCTCCTTAGAACAAAGAAGGGTTCTGAAATTCATACTCTGGTTCTTACGCTCGTCCAGTGCATGTTACAGTTTCTCTTATTGCCTGGTATTCTACTTCTGCAAGATATGACATGCTCTGGTTTAACCCCATCCCTTCCTTAATATTGTCTCACTAACAAAACCACTGCTTTAAGCTAAGAATTGATCATCTTTCAGCTGTGGAGGACCTAATGAAGGAGAAAATAATTTATATTTGTTAAGTTTCTACACTAACCTGAATGCTTTATATGTAATTTGTCATTTATGACTCATAGTAACCATATGAGATATCTGTTATCCCTGTTTTACAGGTAAGAAACCTGAAGCCCAGAAAGGTCAGGGAACCTGGTCAAAGTCACACAGCTAGTAAATGATGGAGCCACCTAGACTTGCCTGACCCCAGACCTTTCTGTGTGTTCTTATATAATGGGATCAAGTGACCTACATCCATTCACTAGCTCTGTGACCCTGAGAAAATATATTCAAGCTATAAAATGGGATAATAATTGTACCTACCTCAGAAGGTAGTTATGTGAATTAAATGAGATAAGATCTCTATTAAGCCTTTATCCTGGTGCCTGTCACACAGTAAAAGTTGGCTGCTATAATTATTTTTTATTAATTATTATTACTAAGAGGAATATAACCAAGATTTGAGAAGAGTCACACCTCAGAAATCTGAATATTCCAATTAATTTAGAAAGTCATTGGATAATAAGCTTAAATTGCGGTTATTTCCGAAGAGGCTTTGGGCTGTAGGCTGGGTCTTTTTCCTTTTTTCTTAGCCAGCGTCTGGTGGCTGGAAAGGAATGTGTGTTTGTTTGAATGACTGGAGGCAGGAGATCTGGGTACAGCAGAGCAGTTTTAAAGGAAAAGATGGTACCGCAGGTGTTGCATTTGAAGACTGGGTTGCCAGATGGTGACCCACTGAGCTGCAGCAGGGAGAAGGAGATACAGTGACGACACCACCAGTGAACTTCATCTTTACTGGTTCACCTGAGGCCTTGGTGCAGGTGGGCATTGGAAGATTCTGCTTCCAGAAGTACAGCTAAGTGACATTGTGTCCTAGTGCCTGACACAGCTTTCCTTGCAGGGTGAAAGTACTGAGTGAGGAGAAAGGGGAAAGGAGCCACATTGTCAAGACTTTGACTTCGGTCACCTGTTCTAGCATGCCGCTCTGGCCCAGTGAGAGCTTTTGGGAGTTTTTTTAAGAAGCAGTTCCTGTGGAGGCTATTAATCCAGTGAGAAAAATAACAAACCCAAAGACTAATTTTTCTTACATGAATGGGTACGAGTCTTACATAATTTGTTTTGGAGTCAGAGTCCCTAGCTACCTAGTGACTGTTTATCACCTGCAGAATTCCCCTATGTATTTGCCAACCTGAGCTGCTGACAAGGTAATTTGGCAATGAAACCAATTACGTGGTATCAGGGAGAAGAAAACTACTAGGAGAATGAATCAGAAGCTGTTTAACAGATCTGTATGACAGATATGAAAGTGTCTGAAAGAGTAAGGAACTTCTGTCCTGGATACGTGGTAGTTTAGCTCTGACATGACTGATATTTAGAAACTACATCTGCTGGGTGCAGAGTACTAGTTTTTGCCATCCAGGCAGAAGTAGGTTCACTCAAGGGATCAAAAGAACAAGAGGAGGTGGTGGGCCACAGGATGAAGGAAGTAAAGGGAGTCTCCTGTAGGGAAGAGAGGCTGCAGGCAGTTTGTCTTCACTGTACTTTGGAGCAGTCCAAGCTGACATTCAGCAGAGTTATGGGTTCTGAGTTCTTGATTAATACACATCGTAGGTCACTTGCCCCAGTATAAGTTTTCCTTTTTCTCAGCAATGTGAGTTAAATATAAGTAAGGGCCATTCTTCCCAAGTCCTTTCAGGCCATGGCACACACAGAAAATGGTGCTCACTGCACAACACACCACTTTACCCCACCACCAAGCTCATGATCAGTAGCTGGGTACCCAGAAACCAACCATCCATCTAATTTGTGAAGGCTGATATGGTAGTTAATAGTCCTAATACTTGCAGAATTCTAGATGAAGCAAGGTTTAGATCAGAAGAGACTTTAAATGTCAAAAGTAAATAATATTAAGTTATTTTTTATATCTATTTTAAGATATAAGAAATGAGTCTCGACTTACTATAAGGATCAGTTTGCTTCTTACTTGACTGAATAAATTAGCATGAAGATGACTCAAGGCATTGCAGACATTTTAGGTGATGGCCTTTTTCATCTTTTTGGTTGGTTGGTTGTTGTTTTGTTTACTTCTAACTTTTTATTTTGGAATAATTATAGACTCAGAAGTTGCATTAAAAAGTACAGAGAATCTCATGTACCCATCACCCACGTCCCCTAGTGGTGACATCTTCCGTAATTACAGAGCATTGTCAAAACTAGGAAATTGATTAAACTACACACAACACTGTTAAGTAGATTTACTCAGATTTGTGCAGTTTTTACACATCTAGATTACTATATATATAGTATACTATAACCACCATAGTCAAGATACAGAACTATTCTATCACCCACAGAAGAAATCCTTCATGATGCCTTGTTATAGTTACACAGCCCCTCTCCTTTCCTAAACCCTGACAACCATTTATCTGTTCTCCAGCTCTGTACTTTTGTCATTTTGACAATGTTGTAAAAATGGGATCATGCAGTAAGTAACCTTTTGATACTGTTTTTTTTTCCACTCAGTGTAATGCCTTTAATGTCCATCTATGTTGCTGCATGTATCAGTAGTTCATTCCTTTTTATTGTTACTTCACTTAATTAACTGTATGAATGTACCAGAGTTTGTATTGGAGGACAGAGGGAATGAAAAGTGCCCACCGAACTGAGAAGGCATCTTGAGACCGAAAAATGAGACAGGCAGCTCCGTATAATCAATGGATCAGTTTATTTTTAGAGTAACTACTCATAGGGTGGGATCTGGAGGACACTGATCGAGAAGCATTTACAGCTGCACTCTGCACCGCAGGGGGGCCGTGGAGACAGTTTTATAGTTAACCTAGGGTATTGGGGTAGGTGCTTTGAAACAGGACTTGCATTTCTAAGTTAAGATTTATGAATGGGTAACTAGTCTCATGGGCGCTGGGACGTCAGAGGTTTTCATCATTGGGGACTGACAGAACACAGAGGCTACACAGTCCTAATGGTCATTAAACAGTATCTATTAACTACAAAGCCTTTGATGACAGAGAAATGACTGACTACACAGTATAGTCCTGGACAGGGTGAGAGAAAGGATAAGAGAATCTGTAAGGGCCCAAGATGGCATCAGTTATGCTAACAGCCATATGGTTTAACCATTCTTGAAGGACTTTTGAGTTATTTCCAGTTTGGGTTATTAGTATCCTTGTTTTTAAAATTTCTTTAAAATATCAGAGTGTATTTCCTTTGTTATATGGTAAATGCTCAAACAGGGCTTTGATGCAGCACTGCTTTTATTTATGTGCGCAAAAGCTGTGGATTCTGGCACAACTTTTTCTCCCATTCTTATTGTAATATAAAAGGAAAGAAAAAATCACCCACAAGGTCTCCCTAACACATTAAAAACATTTTTTCCAGAACCTTTTCTCCGAGATCATTATAAATTCTACTGTCTAATTAGGAACAAATTACAGACATAATGTTAGAGTTATTGTGAGTTCTGTTGCAGACTACCACAGTAAAGCAAATATAGCAATAATGCGAGTCACATGAATTTTTTGGTTTCTAAGAGCATATAAAAATTATGTTTACACTATACTGTAGCCATTAAGTATGCAATAGCATTATGTCTAAAAAATACATACCTTAATTTGAAAATGCTTTTGCTAAAAAAAAAAAAGGTAACCCTTATTGGAGCCTTCAGCAAGTCATAATCTTTTTGCTGGTAGAGGGTCTTGCCTCGTTGTTGGTGGCTGCGGACTGATCAGAGTGGTGGTTGCTGAAGGTTGGGATGGCTGGTGCAGTTTCTTAAAATGACACAATATTGAAGTTTGCCGCATCAATTGACTCTTCCTTTCATGAACAGTTTCTCTGTCACATGCAATGCTGTTTGATAGCACTTACCCACCACAGAACTTCTTTCAAAATTGGAATCCTTTCTAACCCTGCCGCTGCTTTATCAACTAATTTTATGTAATATTCTAAATACTTTATTGTCCTTTCAACAGCCTTCATGACATCTTCTCTGGAAATAGATTCCATCTCAGGAAACTACTTTCTTTGCTCATCATAAGAAGCAACTCCCCATGCATTAAAGTTTTATCATGCAATTGCAGCAACTCTGTCACATCTTCGGGCTCCACTTCTAATTCTAGTTCTCTTGCTATTTCCACCATATCTGTTTTTACTTTCTCCACTGAGAAAGGGTTGGAATCACCTTCTTCCAAACTCCTGCTAATGTTAATATTTTGACCCCCACCCATGAATCACCAATGTTCTTAATGGCATATTAAATGGTGAATCCTTTCCAGAAGGCTTTCAATTGACTTTGCCCAGATCCATCAGGAGAATCACTGTCTGTGGCAGCTATAGTCTTATGAAATGTATTCCCTAAATCATATGAAATGTATTTCCTAAATCATAAGACTTGAAAGTCAAAGTGACTTCTTGATCCATGAGCTACAGAATGGACATTGTGTTAGCAGTATAAAACAACACTAAAATTGTTGTACTTCTCCATCAAAGCTCTTGAGTGACCAGGTGCATTATCAATGAGCAGTAATATTTTGAAAGGAATCTTTGTTTCTGAGCAGTAGATCTCAATAGTGGGCTTAAAATATTCAGTAAACC